AACGTGACTGCGACTCTCTCTATCTCGCGCGAATGTCTTCTATATAGTTGTGTGTGCACAGCTGTCCAGCAGTCCGATCCTGACTTTGTGCTTCGAGCTGGGCTGTGTGTTGACAGCTTGTGCAGCCAGTTGTCTTCGTTTTTCACATTAGAGACCTTGGTGCCCACGTATCAGAGTGACCAACGGCCGGTCAGATGTAAGGGAGATTGCGACGGCTCTGCTGCTGGAGCTCATGCAAACAGAATCTATCGCTAACAGCTCCAGCATGTTCACACTTTGCTTGTTTGTTGGCGCATGTTACGCAGTGGGACCCAGCATCTCTCATTTCATGGTAGCGTCTACTGCTCAGTGTGCGAAACTCAGTGCGAAACTCAGCTACGAACATCCTGAAGGGCTGGTTTCTGCTGGGTCGCTTGAAGACCTGCTGCAAGCAAAGGCAAATTCATCGTGGGCGGCAACTGGAAGTGCAATCCCGCGACGCTGCGCGAGGCCAACACACTCCTCAAAGATTGGAAGAAGATGCTCGGCAGAGATGACACGGGCCACCCTGCCTGAATACTCGCTGAAACCAGCACGCTCTGTTGGCTAAAGCTTCATTGCGGCCTGCTGCATCAAGGGCACTGCCAAATGTGGACAAGAGCCCCATGGCCACATTGGGTTCTGCATGGAGCTTCTGCGCATCGGCTTGGCATCTCTAGGCAAAGTGGACGTCGTGATCTGTCCGCCGGCTCTTTGGATGTTTTCTCTGAATGAGTCCATCCAGGCGCGTCAGATTCGTTTTTGTTTTTGGACCTTTCCAACATCTCACTGGCGATAGTTCTCTGTGAGGCTCTTGGCATGAGCACCTGTGCGCAGAATGTTGGGAAAAATGATGCCGGAGCCTTTACCGGAAGCTTGGCTAAAAAACATGAAGAAATCTCAGCGATTGCCGAAGACTGAAGAGGGCGAGCTTTCACGTTTGTTGGCCATGATCCGCTGTGCTTCTTTCGTGTCGGAATCCGTGACTCAGGTGAGTGGACTGCGACCAACCTGCTAGACATCGAGCCATGGATGTTCTTAGGCTGTCGGGCCAAGGTGTCCTGTAGGTGCTGCCAGCTTGTAGCATCCGAAACGCGGCTCATGTCAACAAAGCCAAGAACATCTCGTGGACTCTCATCGGGCACTCAGAGCGGAGAACGAAGTACGGCGAGACGGATGCTGATGTTGCAGAGAAGGAAGCCTGGCGGCATATTCGACATCTGCTTGCGTGTAGAACGTCATGTGTGGCTTCCCGGAAACCCAGGTCGCAAAATGCCAGGACGCAGGTCTCAACGTCATCCTCTGCATTGGCGAGACCTTGGAGGAGCGTAGAAGGCTCAGGAGCTCAAGATAGATTCGGTTTGCGCCTCAGCCTCGTTCGGTTTACGAAGTTTACGGGAAGACCAAGGTGAAGGAGGAAAAACCGATGAGGTCAACAAGCGGCAGCTGGGAGCCGTCCTGCCAAAAGTCAAGGTGGCGCAACTAGAGTCTACAAGAAGCAGAAGAATTATTTCATAGGTCTCATGCGAGTTCACAGGACTGGGACAAGATCGTCATCGCTTACGAGTCGGTTTCTGAGAGCATCTGATCCGATTTTGGCTCCGACACTGGCCATGGCAAATCTCGAGGCCAGTTTGGGCGATCGGGACCGGCAAGGTGGCAACGCCAGACCAGGCGGAGGAAACGCAGGCGAGAGATCACGGAATCACTTTCGGGCCAAACCGATCTATTGAACGCGTTTGTCAATATTATCAATTGCACAGGCTAGGATCTAGCACCGAGCAAAAATACAGCTGTGCTTCTGTACGCCAGCCTTTCCTGAGTCATGAAGTAGCGCTGAGTCTTTCACGGAATGATGCCTATAAACCTAGGCGGCCATCCGAGCCTACCTCAAGGAGGCAGCTGGTGCTGCTGTGGCCGACAAGGCAGAAGGGAGAGTTGTGCGAGAGTTGAGCCGGCCTGCAGACAGCATCTGTGAGCAATGCTGACAGCTGTGCTTTGAATTGAAACTTTCAGCCGCCATTGCGTAGCTGCTGGGTCCAAGGCTGTGAAGTAAGGCGGGCTGCATCAATAAACATCTTCACAGACGGCCACGGCTGCTCAACACCCAAACACCCTGTACTGCATTGCGACGACAGCCTCTGAGTCATCCAAACCTTTGACAAGAACCCTTTTCCACAAGCATCTCCGCACAGCGACAAAGATGGAGGGGGCCTTCCAACAGGGATGGCGGATCTTCCACGAGCAAGCAGGAGAGGCACCTATGGAGAAGAAGACCGAAATGCAGATGCTCGGCAAGCGAAATCCCAGAGGGAAGCATATGTTATGGAGAGATTCAATTTACTTCCTCTGGCAAGCCTCGGACTTAGGCTGGCAAGGGCCCATCAGGCTGCAGCCGAAGCATTGCGCTGTGCGCCGATTCCGAGCACACCGTTGTCCCGTGGCCGAGAGACGCCGACTACAAGTGTCTACTTTGTGTCAGTGTCGCAGAAAGCCGTTTTCGTAGGTTGACGGGGCGTGTGAGAGCCGTGGGCCCTATTGGATGTGAAAGACTCTGAGAGTATCTAGATTCCAGATCTGGAAGGTTGTGAGGCCGGCCTTATTGGAACTGGTTATAAGACTAAGAGGTTCTACATTGGTCGCTGAGGCTGTTGAGGAGTGGAGCCAGCATAGCTCCGGGCCCATTGCCTGTACCAAGGCATAGGCTTGGGGAGATGACAGCACATGCACACTATGCACCCTTGCTAAAACCTTCGTTCTAAGAAGTCTCATATGATAATGGTTGGCGCTCATCGCGGCAGGTCGACTCCTCAGCCTCCAGCGACTCCAGCGCCGCCTCTGGGACCGCCTCCTGGACCGCCTCCACCTCCGTCGCAGCCCTTGCCAACCCCACAGTCGCCTGAACTTCAAGTCCGCCCTGTCTCGCTGCCAGCAGCTACTTGGAGTGCACATCACGAACCCCTGGAAGGGGAAGCTTGTTGAGAACATGTTTTTGTTTCTAGCTTCGAGATGTTGTACGTACACATGTACGGACATCGTGCCGAGGCTAATTTTGCGGTGCCGGCGCCACTTCAGATGCAGTGTGGCATCCCGGTATATGCGAGAGCGCCGTCGCCCTTCTCTCGATCACTTTCGCCTGCGCGGAGTCCTCTCCCTGCCAGCATGCAACATATTCGTACGGTCCAGGGACAGTTTCACATGACACAGACGCTGCAGGAACCCCCCGGGGCCGCCACACACCCGCGGGCTGCATCTCCATCTCCACTCCCGAGACCAGTCGAGCGTCATCTAAGTCCGGCTCGGGCGACCCCCTGCTACAGCCCGGCATCACAGCCTTCACCGCACCTCGTTCATGGCCAAACCCTCCCTGCGACCCGGGCGACTTTGCCAGTGAATTGCCATGGCACATCCGAGACGAGTCAGCAAGCAATGCTGGAGGCACTCTGGAGGCGCACTTCAGCCATTGCGGAGGATTGTGCCCGCTGGAATCAAGTTCTGCGGCAGAAAGAGAAAGAAGCATCAGAGCTTGCAGGCATGATCCGCAATTTCACTGAAGAGTACATGGTCCCTGTGGTGCCCCAGCCATCGCATCAAGGGCAAGCTCAGACCGAAGATGCTCATGCTGGCAGGACCGTCTCGCCAACTCCGCAGCTGAAAGTGCGGCTTGGTCCTCCCACCGACCGAGTCTTCTCGGATGAGATGCAGCCAGCGGTGCCCGTGCAGCCAGTCGCAGGGCCCAATGGACACATGGAGATCTCCGTACCAGAGCCGGAAGTCGAAAACAGAGACATCTATGATGGCTTCTCGCCTGCACGCACTCAGCATGCCGACAGCTTTCGCGAAGGCGCTGATAAGCCAGAGTCGGAGGTAACCAAAGAAGTTGTGGAATCGGCACTGGGGCTGAGCAAGGAGACTGCCATGACTGACATCAACCATGATGAAATATTCGTGGGCTCTCATGTAGAGAAGTTCGATGAAGCTTTTGCAGAAGGTGAAGGAGAAGAGGGTGAGCTTTTTGCCAAAGTCCGGGCGGCCTTGTCACGCGTTGTGGGTGGTGAAGCTGCCAGCGCTCTTCATGACCCAGCGACAGTTCTGATCCCCACAGGGTGGGAAGAAAACATGTTCATCCCGGCAAGCTGGGAGGAAAAAGCTCGCCCACCCCCTGAGCCTGCACCTCAAGAGCATGGTCTCTCACCGTTTACCACCTCCGTTGGTGGCTCCACCATGGCTGCCGAGCCTGACCCATCTTCGGAATTTGCTGGGGTTTTCTCCACCGAAGCCGAGGATCAGTCAGCCTTGAGTCCGGAGCTCACAGGGCATGTGGATGCAGAGCACGCAGGGCACCTGGAGCCTGCCGTGCTACCTGAAAAAGTCGGCCACCCAGGCCCAGCCACAGCCTTCTCCGAATGCCTCTCTGCAGTCAGCTGCGACTCCATGGCTTTATCCCAGGAGGCCATCGCGGTGCACAGCACAGAGCTGGAGGCTGTGCAGTCGGAAGCAGCTCATGCCAGCGAGCGTGCGGCGACGGCACCTGCACTACCCGCAGCGGCTTTGGGCAAACCCGCCAACTCAGCAAAGCCTGACACACACTTGGACAGGGCAACCTCACGGATTTCACATAATTCACCAGCTACTGCGGCTCCAAAGCAGAGCCGATCCGAGCGCGGGCGTACACTCCCCCAAGGAAGCACCCGCACACCAACGGCAGATGCCTGGATGCCACTTCGCAAAAAGGCATCTGCCGGAATGCCCCAGGCAAAAGCACACGCTGCGAAGGCGCCCGAAAGCCGAGACCGCATTGGGACGCGCTCCAGAAGAAGCCAAGCTTCCACTTCTACATCACCGCCGAGGACTTCACCGAACAGAAGCGGGAGCTCATCTGTGCTGCTTGGTTACATTGGCCGTCCTCTCAAAGATGCTTCAGACCGTCGGTGCATTCCCTACATACTTCAGAAATGTGAGAAGCCTTCAGCTTGCGATCATAGATCGTTTCTCGGCGTTCAGTATCGCAAGTAAGTAAGTACTAGTCAGGAAGCCCAGCAGCAGTCCGTCAAGGAAACCTAAGCCCCGGCTTTGTCAAAAGACATTGCACAACAGCTGCGGCAGTGAAGGATGCCGCAGCGCTACGTAGTTCGACGCAACACAGCCTACAGTTCCAAATGTGCACTGTTTTCTGGCCGCTAAGGCTTCCAATGTCACCGGACGCTCAGCTCAGCCAGAAGCAACTGAGGTCTTACCTTCGAAGCCTTGCCAGACCCCGCACGCCAAGCCCCATGAACCCAAAACGGGTGCCTCACAGGGCAACGCCAAAGACACAGCCGCACAGCTGAGAGACTCACCACGTTTCGTTTTACTGCTTTGGTGAGAAAAGCAGGTGCTCTGCTCATGTCGCATGAGAGCTCCGGGCTGTTGCAACTTTGCCGCCCCTGGAAGAGTTTTTCGGCTTCTTGCCTCCAGGTGAGAATTCAGTATGGTGGCAGTGTCACTCCCGACAACTGCGCCGTGCCTTTGCTTTGATTGTTGTGTGTATATGTCTCGTAGCCCTGGCGGACGGGTGTTGAAGCCGCGTGGTGGGTCCAGGAGTTGATCACGAAGCCGAACATCGACGGATTCTTGGTGGGCGGTGCATCGCTGAAGCCCACATTTATGGACATCGTGTCCAAGGCGGGGAAGTCATGACATGCTTGGGGCTGCGTGCGAGAAGTCGAAATTGGAGGTGGGGCCGTCCAAAATGGTTGACATGTGGCCTAAGTACGAGGAGAAGATGAAGAAGGCAATTCTTTTGCAGATCAGTGTAGGTGAGCGAAGAGCCGAGATCGGGGCCTGAAGGAAGACCTCAACGAATCTGCCATTGCGGCCTTCAAATACAACTATGGCCCCGGTGCTTAAAGCTACCCACCTTGGGCAAATGGAACCGAATGAACGATGGAAGTCCCCTGAGGCGTTCTCGTCTCCGGTGCTGATGCCGGGTCCCAGAAATTGAGGGCGAGTTGCTACTTGATTTTGAGCCTTTCTCGAGCTTGGCTAAAAGGTGATGATTCCAGAGAGCAAGCTGGACCCAGTCGACAAGCTGCCTGAGTGGCTCGTTGGATCCGTAGTATCGGCGTGTCATCTCATTCTTGGCATCCGCAAGTTGCAAATCATGGCTTGGCGTAGAGGTACGAGAAACTGAAGGAAAAGCCAGAGACTTGATGGCAACTAGCTCGTTTGTGTGTGTGTGTGACGCTGGTGTCGAACCATGTTGTGCCAAGTGCACTCTACCTTCCGGATCCTGCCGGCACCAATAAGGCAATCTCCTGCCTGATCGGTTGTGGGTGTTTAACCGCCAGAGGAACGTGCCAAATCGAGCCGTCGCTCTTGTGTTCATGATTGCTTTTTAGCTGTCCCGCGCCTTCATGGCTTCGAGAAGTCGGTCGTCTTTGTTATCTCGTGTCTTCACGTCATGGCTTTCTGGTGTAACATTCATCCTTTGCCCAACATTCGGTGCCCAAGGACGCAGGTGGCAGGTTGGGTCCAAGCCAGCCGTGGCAAGAAGTACCCTGTCTCCTCCTGCGGTACTTTCCAGTGAAAGTCCAGCTGTACTGTACTGCTGGATTGGTCAATGCCAGTATTGCTCCCCCCTTGTAGTGGCCACCAAAGCCGCGTCTCCTCCCAACTTTTGCACTTGCCATGAAGACCCTGTTTTCAATGGGTTTCCTATCAATTAACAACCACGAAACCGCAAATTCTCATCAGGGGGTTATGTTACGGGAGGGGATTGCTCATCCAGTAGAGAACATCAAGCATGCATTCGGCACACTGCTTGCATATCCTCTCATCAGGATCCCAGGCTCCTGCGGAAGACCCTCATCTTGAAGCTGAACGGAGGGTTGGGCACAGGTGGGGGAGAGTTGGATGTTCCTCAGATTTCTTCGATCTCGGATCCTTTGCAAAGGACCTGAAGAACAGAAGAGCCATGTATCGCAACACTGTCAGGCATGGGCTTGGAGAAGGCCAAATCCCTTCTCACGGTCACCGAGGGTAACAGCTTCCTTGACCTGCCACTCGATTTCCTTAATTGATGGGAGTTTGGCATCTTGCACGCGTCTCGCGATGAGCAAGGATTGCAAAGCAGGTGGCAGCGACCAAAAAGACCTTCAAGACCGTTCCTTGCGCAGCACGAATTGATTGTCTGATTGCCCATTCTTAGCCAGCTGCCATGCCCTATGAAACTGTCCACATTTCGATGTGACGGTCACGCTGTCTGCCATGCGAATCAAGGACCTGAAGTTCATGCTTATGAACTCGTTCTCGACTTCGAAGGCGTTTCCGGATTTCGTGCTCGTGCTATAACCAGGTCGAGAAGACAGGCGCACCATGCTTGAAGGACACGCTGGAGGCCCTTTCCAAGTACACCGAGCTTGGAACTGGCTCAGATCTTGAGCTGCTTGGGCTCAGCATATCTCAGCATCTGTTTAAAAAGCAGTCCTTTACGACAGTTGCTGCTCACAGGCATGATGGCACCTGCAGCTTATAAGCTGTCAAGGTTCGTGCAGAACAAGGCGCCCAAGGTCACAGAAAGCGACTTCTCGCCGGCCGATTGGAGCGCAGATGCATCGATGGAGTGGTGTGCCTCGACCGCTGACTGCGCACGGGTTTTGGGCCAGGCTTCAACGGCATTTCGCGGATGTGCTTTCTTGTGTGGGGAACATGGGACACTGCCTCTAAACCCTAGCCACTAGTCGCGAGTCTCAGAATCTCTGGCTTTAAGCATTTCGCGGGTCGCAAACTAAATTCTAGCCCTGGAGGAAATTGAGAAGGCTCGATATGCGGTTTGCCGCTGAGGCCCGCCGGGCCATGGCGATTTGTACCCAGCGCTGCTCGGGACACCTGAGCAGACCTTGCAGCCGACCATGCATAGGGCATTGAAAGATTTAGGATCACATGCGGGAACTAGCTGCCTGTCAGCAGAATTTCATCGGCCGCAGGGCAGAGCACCTCTTGCAAGACTTCATGCAACTGTTGTGCTGTGCGAGAGATGGGCTGAGATGGGGAGGAGTGGCACGCTGGAGAAGCTTTTGAAGAAGGGCCAAGCCCCTAAAACCGGACAACTACACGACTGTCGCAGGATCACCTGCGGCCTCCTGAGGCTACAGGTACATGTTCGTCTCCAACTCGGACAACCTTGGGGCGACCATGGACCTGAAAATTCTGACTCACTTCGTGCAGCTTGTGCCGGAGTTAAGCTTTCAGGAAACCAGGAAAATCACTTCCGAGCTCGAGGGTACCTCAAGCAACTGAGGCAATCTGGTGCTCCGTTCATGATGGAGGTCGCGGAACGCACTGATGCTGCCCCAACCTTAGATTCAGTCACTTGCAGGGGCAGCCCCAGACCTTCGAGTTCTTGTATGTCGCAGCCATGACAGGACAAGAAAGGTGGACACCTGGCAAAAGACAAGGCCCGGATGACACGTAGGAGCATGGGGCTCATCTCCGTTTTGTCGCATTGTGGCAGCCGCGGCAGCAGCCTGCAGGCAACAGAGTAGCTTGTGTCAGCAAGTCGAGGCCAGAGTCGGCAAATCGAATCAGCAAACAAGCCGCTGTATTTCGGAAAACCAGAGGCCGCAAGTCGCAGGCCGCAGGCCAACAGCCACCGAGGTCAGAGACAGGAAAGCTCCATTTAGGAAGTCCGAAGGTTCATGCGGAACACATGAAGCAGGAGCGACCCGCAGTACTTGCTCTTGCACCAATATTGTAGCTCTACGCAAACTTCGCTCGGACTCAGCGCTGAACTGACCTCGCATATCGCTGGCCTCGGAAAGAGTGTGACGTGGCAACCTCTGGCAAGTTTACACTACATGTGCAGGAGCATGTGTTTGTGTTAGACGTGCTGACGTCGCATGGCATTTCCTTGGTGTTTGCCGGTTCGGGCTGGGCCGTCTCCCATAAGAGCTCGCAGGTTTGCTGAGTGCGGCTGTGCTGTTGATGACTTTCGTCCGGTCTGCTTGCTGACTCTGCCCCTGTTGCTTTTATTTTTTCTGCTGACTCGGACCCTGCCCCTGCAGGCAACCGGCGGTCTCCTCCTCCGCGAGTCTGCTCAGTGCCCTGAAGAGGTATCCTAACAAAGTGATATCGGCGGATTGCTGCCACCTCCTTTTGTTTGGTGTGCAGGATGAGAAGGAATTCCAGAATGTTGGCAAGTACAAGCCAACTAGTCCGCAGATAAATTAGTGTGCATTGGTCATATTAGTCCTGGTCACAGGTCTCTGGGGCAGTCTGAGTCCAGGTTTTTCAACACCAACAACCTCTGGGTGGACTTGGCAGCTTTGAAGAGGGAGTTCAGGAAGAACGACGGAGCACTGCCTCTTCCGGTCATGAAGACGCTTGGCGAACCACCTCAATCTGGGTCCGGTCGCATCCGTTGGCCAGTCTCTGACATGCAAGCCGTTGTATTTCACAGCTCAGGAACTCGAAGACGGTGGACCCACGAGACAAGAAGTCCACAAAAGTTTTGCAGCTGGAGACGGCCATGGGGGCTGCCATCCAGTGCTTCGAAGGTCTGTGTCTGGAAAGGGGCTGGGTGTGCATGGATACAAATGCCTGCCTCACATTACAGCAAAAGATAGTAGATCACCTAGAAGAATGGCCGGATAGCTGATGTGTCAAGCAGTGAGCAGTGCGGCGGTTCGTGCTGCTAAGTTTCCTGGAAGATTCATAGCTGGTGTTTCTGATCATCTGTCGACGAAGAAGGTGCGTCCGCTCTGGTTATCCCTCGTTCACGTTTCGCTCCGGTGAAGACCACAAACGAGTCTTGAGTGCATGTCTAAAGCAGTAGATGGAGCTTCAGGTTTCGGTCTCAGACTTATCGGGCCGCCGTGAGGATTCTGGGGTTCAACCTGAAGCCTGGAGCATGGCTGTAGATGTGCTATAGCCCAGAGAGAGATTGTGTCTAAGGACCTCCTGGCGTTGCGATCCGATGCCTACCTCCTCACGGAGGACGCAAGCAGCGAACGATTCAGTCCTCAGCCCGCTCAGTGACGAACAAGCACTCCGCGCAGTGAGCGGTAACAAGGTTTGGCCCAAAAGGGAATTGGGCGAGCTTTATCTTCTATGTCGTCGCTTGAGGTCCCGTCTCAGGTTGGGTTTTGCGGTGGGTACTTTTTGTTTGTGCTGTTGGGGTGTTGTGCGCCCATATGTTTACATGTAGGCCCGAATGAATGTAGTTTGTAGGCGTTTTGCACGGGGGCAAGGCTTGAGTTCAGCCCTGCTTTCGCAGGGTAGCTCAAAGGCCGAAAGCTGCGAGTTCCGTCAAAGGACGTCGGGAGTGTGAGGCAATGTTGAACGGTCGACAGGATTCAGGCGGGAGTCAGTATCAATATGGCTGCGCAGCCACGATTAAGAATACCAGCAAGAACAGCAGCAGCAAGGAGGACTGCACAGGGCTCTCTCTTCTCTCATGATTTGAGATAGCCGCGTTGACTCCCAGCCCCCTCCGACCTGCAGCGAGCACATGCCAGTAAACAGCGTGACTGGCTTGCAACCCCAAGTTGCCCGTTAGGACTTCACTGTCGTTCTCGCACCAGAACGAAATGGAGTTCCTCCTGACGTGAAGTTGGATGGCATGTACAAGTTTACAGCACCTAGGATGCATGCAAGACTCGGCGGTTGGAAGCGAAGGGTGCCAGTAATACTCTTGTAGGCAGTCCGTGTAAAAAGGGTGCAGGGGAGAGTGCTGCAACAGCTGTTTGCCATGCTACTGCTGCTTCTTGCAAGCAGTTGGAAAGACGAAATTTGTTTTCCCGTGTTGGGTCTCCTTGCAAGCCAGGATGCCTTGGAGGAGAAGCTCATACCAAATGGGCCACCGTCTCTCATCGGATGCAAAAAGCTCGTGATTGAAGGAGGGCCCACTGCTCGTAGTCGTAGCCATTGAATGAATTTGACTTTTCGGGCACATGTTGCCAGGAGCCGTGAAACTGGCCAAGGGTGTGGTTTTCAAGGGCACCGTCACCGTGAAGAACACCAGCGGAGCAGAGAAGGTCTGCCTTGCAAGAGAACAAAAGGGGCAGTTAGTTGCAAAGCCGGTCCAGCGACTACGACTTGTGAGGAGCTGGCGGCTGGCGTATATGAAGACAAGACGGCGCTTCACTCAGCTTGTTCTCACGACCGGGAATGTGTTCTGAAAGAATGCTCGTAAGGTTGAGCTTTGATCTCCCGAAGGCCATTCAGTCAGTTGCGTCGAGAACAGGGTGTTGAAGGGTCTACCGCTGCAGCCCATCGAGGGCAAGCAGCAATGGCGGCAAGCAAGTCACACTTGATGTGCCAGGCTTTCGTGGGCAAAATATGAGCGCCACCATCCCTCCGACAGTCGACCGATCAATTTGCAGATATTTTAACGGACAGCCTGGACCTATGCTGACGCAGATCGTTCTTGATGGGTTGTATGCAAATTCAACCACAGCCTTTCTTGACGTGAACTTACAGCTGATGGCCAAATCTTGACTCACAGCTTGCTGCGCAGATGCACTGAGAGTGGAATGCTAGCTTCGAACGGCTGCGTGGGTCCAGGGAGACCAAGAAGGTCTGAACAGCTGAATCTTTGATCATCGCTTTGATGTTTCAACCTATGCACTATTCGAGGCTGAGGAAGCTCTTTCCGCAAGAAGTTCCGACCCAGAGTGCAGTACTCAAGCCTCCATCGAATGTCCTGCGGATTGAGCTTTACAGACAGATCCCATTTTCTGGCGAAGAGAGAAAGTCGTCGACGGTTTTAGCGTGTATTCCAAGCCTGCAATGATCTGAAGCTGCCACTGCATGACATGTCGGTGTCGCATCAAGCAGTCCGAAACCGGGGACCCACTCCGAGCTCAGCCATGGCTTTCGAGGCGGAGACTGTTGGCTGTATTTGGCATCAGTCATTTCATCCCAAGGCGCCGTTAGCTGCCGTGGCCAAACCCTCTACACCTAGTCCGTCCTACTAGTCCTAGTGCAAGCATGGTCTTCTGCTGCACCGTGTGGCATCTCCGAGACCGGGAGGGGCAGGACCCTACCAGCTCGAAGCAAGCAAAGGTTGGAAGCTCCGTTCTGATTCAGCAGGCCGTAGCCGTAGCATGAAACAGAACAAGACGAGTGAGGCTTCTCAAGATGAGGCATCTGTTTCCGTGAAAAGTCTGACCCTTGCTGTTGTCTGAAAACAAAGGGCCCTTCCGCGAGCGATGCGACAGGCGATCCCTGACATGTTACTCGCTACCACGAGGGTCCGCGGCCCGCTGGTTGCATCTTCTGTCAAGAGCCGCTGAGAAATCTGGCAAAGGAGGATGGGCAGCAAAAACTCGGCAGCCCTCCGAGGCCACGGACGCTCCCTTTTTTTTCCAATGCCTTTCTTGTCTTACGAAAGTGCGAGGAGTGAGCCTTTGGAGCCGGAAATCCTGCCCTGTTTGCTCCAGTACCTTCCTGCTCGTGCAAGGCGGTCGCGTGCTCGGATGTCAAAAAGCACGGGATATTGTGGCGGGCGCGCCGTCATGCAGCTCATGCAGCTCATGCTCAGGACACTGTGCCGGCAAGAATACCGTGCCGTCCAGAATGAAGTCCAACCGCAGCTGAGACAGGTCTTGAGTAACTACGGCGTGCCTTGCTGGTCCTGTCTGGTTGCTGTCTATTTCGGAGAGGTCTGGGAGAGGCTGAGCGCGGAGGTGGACCGCTGCGAGGCTGCCAGGTCCTTGGCATTCCTTGGTCGACTGGTCCACAGCACATCTTGGCTGTTGCGCCGACATGCACCACCCTGAACAGTTGTTTCTCGAAGCAGGAGTTCCATCATGCCTGCGGCTCATGCACGCCGGAGCTGTGCTTTGGCTCCGTGTGCTTAGCCTTGGTGGCACGGCAGCCCAGGCTTGGATGGCTCCGCCTGTTTTTTTGGAGAGTTTTGGTGCATTTTTGCTTCGCGATGCTCTGCGCGAGATCACCACACGCTTCCCGCTGCAGGTTGTGTCAGCTGGTCTTCCCCGTCATAGGCCGGGCCGTCCCTGTGCTGGCAGACTATGCTGTCTTGCATGAAGGTGTTGGTATTCGTCATTAATGGTCATTATCACGGCTAGACCCAACCCTGGCACGATAGCTCGATGACAAGATGCCCATGTATCCAGAATCCCACCCTGATGAGGCATTGTCGCAGGAGTAGTGAGTCTGAGTTGTGTGATGCCGATTTGCGTGAAAAGCGCTGTGGCTCGGAGACGGATGCAGCTGTTTCCGGTGCAGCCCACTGCCCAAGTTCCTGAGATGGGCATGATGGTGGGTGCTTGAGCGGGTTATTTCGGAAGCACGCGAAAGGGTGGCTCATGTGCACAGACACATGCTCCGTGCATGAATGCAGCTCCCGTCATAGAGGCCAAAGGCATACTCACGAAAGAGTGGCTGCGGCCGTTCAGATTTCAACAGGGCGACGCCGCGGATGGTGTGGGCCGGGCCCACATCGCCCGCCCCGCCCTGTCACGAATTTGTAAATAAATATTGTAACGAATCTTGCTTATGATTACAGCGGCTGTTCGCTCGGTGAGAAAAGTATGCAGTTGGAACACGGGCGGGAGTGCTGCGAGTGGGCACGTGGATGGCATGAATTTTCTCTCAAGCTTGCAACGACTTTGGCTGGACTCCTTTGCTTCTTACTCTCTTCTTACTGTTGCCTAGCTGCAAAACATGTACTAGGCAAAGTTAGCACGGGGACGGGGTCTAGAAGCTGCAGTTGCATCAAGGACCTCGCCAGCGTGCAGAAGATGTTAATCTAAACGTTTCTCTTGCAAAAACTCATGCCGTGGCTTTGCTAAATGAAAATTTCGGCTATTGGCTCACGGTAGCTGGCCGCCAACCAAAACAATGACATGTAGGGCTTGTATCGAGCCGCTAGTGCTGCCTCTGCAATGGCTTCAAAACTGCGGCTGGGACTGGTTGTCGTCCTCTTCGTGCTGCTGCGACCTCGACAGGATCCGACGTGGGTGAGACCTTGCCCCTCTCCCTTCCCTCATCCGACCGCGTGCCAACAAGCAAGATAGGGAGCTGTTGCCACACTGAGCGATTTCTGAGCGTATGCATTGCTAGAGGAATGTGCACGCACTGAAGCAGTTTCTCAAATGCACCCTGGCGACAATGGCCGAAACAGTTGAGCATGGGCTTGACCCAGCAAAGGGAGAAGCCCTCCGAACGTGATCATGCGGATGGAAATTGCGAAAGCAACTGTTGCGCAGTGTTTTTTCCATCATTTCGCAGTTTCGGCAATGACGTTTGGGGCTTTTGCCATGATAAATCCATGGTCAAAGCAAAGGCCTGCTCCCATGCCCTTATGGATCGATTTATCGCAGGAGGGAGGGGAAGGCGTTCTCCGTGAGGGATACTGGTACTAAGTACTGCTTGGAGCGTCATTTGTCCGTCGCGCGGGAATGAGGCCTTGCAGTTCTGTAGGTTGGACTTAGCACTTAGCACTCCCAGTATCCGAGCTGTAAGCCAATGACACAGTGCAGCGTGCGGGCCTGCAGAGTATCGCCGACGAGCTCAGGTAGGCTTCACAATTGCTTCTCTTCTGGCACAGCCTTCCTTCCACCCTAAAGCCCTAAAGTTCGCAGCCCCCCAAGTGCTGAGCATCTTTACACAACGCGGACGCTGCCGTGGCATGTTCGACTGTCCCACAGGAAGCTTGGTCGACTGTACGCAGGGCCACACGGGAGGCTCTCAAGTGCCTTGCAAAGCCTCGCACTTCGGGCTCGGTCATGTTATTTTCGGGAGGCCTCAGCATCTCGCGGGCGTGTGGCAATTGTGTCCAAGCAGCACCTGGCCTGACGCAAAGCGTAGTCAACCTCAGTTAAGGCCCATCCGATCATGTACCTCCTCCCTTGGCTCGTGACATTGCCGGCGAAACATCACAGACGACCATAGAGTCCGAGCGAGGCACCCCCCCAGTCCCATAGACGATGTTGTTTGTGTCAGAATGTAAGGTGACCGGCGCTTCTACCGGCTTGGGCCTCGCCACAGCGCAGTCCTTGGCCACATCGGGTAACTTTAGTGCCTCGGCGGATTATTGTGAAATTACTTGTGCGACTTGGACTGCAGGGGGCTGGTCTTGAGCATACTATAAACTTCATCAATTTGGCGGGATGTTGAGGTCTGATCGTCCTCGCCGGTAGGAGCCAGGAGAAGCACGAGAAGGCGCTGGACAGCCTCAGGCGCAGAAGTGAAGTGAATGGTGAAGTTCTAGTCGTTGGAGGGGGTTTCAGGAGTTTGTGCACGGAGCACATGGGCGAGAACGACGGTTGTTTCATCAGGGTGAGAGTGTAACTAAGTAAACTCCCCGACTTCCCGTGGCGAACGACTGGCACGCTGACATCAGAAATTGATTTGCCGGCGATAGCAGCAATGAGCCAAGTCCGGGGGTCCACAAGGGCGGAAGCAATTTGCGTGAGCCGCCTGGGCTTGGATTGTCGGCTGGCCTGTTCAAGAAGCTCCACCTTTGTGCTTGGAGCTATGTTGGGTATGGCAGCACAGTGTAGGGTAGAAAGATTTATGGGGAGTGCTTTCTACATAATTAACTTAGCATCGGTATCACTCGTCTGATTAGGGTACTCGATATCAGCTGTATAAGGCCAACTTCTTTCGATAATGACACGCGCACAATGAGCATGGTGTTGCACGAAGCCTCCAGCCCCACAGACCTAATATCAAGCTACCAACTTCTATGCTACCCTCACTTAGCCTGGGCTTCGCATCCACTCTAGGCATGTCGGCCACTCTTCACCTAGCCAATTCAGGGATTATCCATAGGTATGGAAGTTGTTGCGACTAGCGCCACCGTTCATATCCTGCTCTTGCAGCATGCGTGAATGCTGCTGGTTTCTTGTGTTTCGATCCATTGCGTCGAGCACCTGCACTGCCACCCCTCCTCACAGTCCCTATGCGACCTCCCAGATTCACCGTTGCCTGCGGACTTGTCGGTTGGCAAACATGCCAGGCAGCTTACGCCTGTAGCCGAGCTGCGAGTCTTGGCTTGACGTGGAGTCAGTCCGCCCGAGTTGACCTCACCCAGTCCGCCGACCTGATTCCAAACTGAACCCGGTCAGCTGGCTGTGTCCACTGGCACGCTGTGTCCATTGACATGTCTGTGAAGGTTACATGCCCTTGGAGCTGGACTCGCTGGCATCTGTGCGCGGCTTCGTGGTGGATTTTTTGGCCATGAAGGCTGGCAAGTCGTGCAGAGAGCACTGAAGGCATCGTCTGTGCAGCAACCACCTTGCCCAGTTGCCTCTCCACTGCCTCGTGCTGAATGCTGGTGTTATGGCTTTGCCGTCAAGGCCAACGTTGCTTCAAGCAGGTTTTGTCAAGGCAATGACATACGTGCACAAACAGAACTTTGCATGATGTTGTATGCAGTGACAGCAAGCGTCCATCTAAGCCAATACGACCTTGCGGTAGGCAGGAGACCCGTGATGGACATGAGTACCAACTGGCTGTCAACTACCTGGGCCACTTCCTACTTGCAAACTTGCTGGTCGACCACATGGCTGCGACAGCTTCACCCAGATGCTGAGTTGGTTTAAGTTGGATCTCATGAACCGAAATGTCAGTCTCGTGGAAACTTGGCGTGCGGTACGCAACTTGCCTCCTCAGGAGATCCTGGTCGCATTATCAGCCTGTCTTCATCGGCTCATCTCATCCCCTCTGCGCTCCAGAGAGGTGATTTGAGTGATCTGCAGTCGGCCGACAAGTACGCTCCATGGCAGGTGCAGCTTGTGGAAGTGGAGAGGGGGCCTTGCACACAAATTCACATCCCAAAGCCAGTTTGATCTCTAAAGCATCAACTGCCACAGTGGTACATGGATCGTTCATCTCGAAGACCTCCCGCTCCTTGTTCCGCAGGCATATGGCCAAGCAAAGCTGTGCAATTTGCTCTTCGCTTACGAGCTGGATCGACGTTGTCGACTTGGTGGCATCCCCATTGCCTCAAATGCCATCCATCCAGGCGGCGCGAAACACGAATTCAAGACGGGAAGAGAGTAGGAGAAGAGAGTGCTTAAACAACAATGATCGGAATACATGACTTGCAGTCCACCTTCGAATTTTCTGGCGGAAGTTGCTTGCATCAAGGAAAAGACATATGAGGCTCGCCTGATGCCGTGACAGGAGCTGTGGCCACCGAGCTGAAGCGGCACCTGCCCCAAAACCAGCAAGAGGAAGACCAAGGGCAGAATCCCCTGGAAGGCGCCCGGTCTTCATTTGCCCACAGCTCTTTTTGGTACAAACGAGGGGTCGGAGCATCGGCCTTCAGGAGTCTACCAGGCTCTCAAGTCGGTGGTTCAACCTTTGCTGGACCTCATCGTGCAGAGCCCGGAGGAAGGCACTGAAGACGACTTGCATTTGACGACCTTTTAAGCTCTCTTATTAAGACCTGGTCTCGCACTTTCGTCCTGCAGATACTTGTGGTGTGTTTCAAGCTCGTTCTTACCAGTCTTTCTCTCGGAACAGACTGCAGTCTCCCTGCTGTGGGCTGAAAATCACAGGTGCCCGAACCACGGTGCTGCTGGCCACCTCGGAGCAGGGTAAGCTTTCAGGGTACTACTGGCAGGACCTCTGCGCAAGATGACCTCTTCCATACCCTTACGTTTCACTAGTCGTGTTCAAGGCCTTAGCTTCGGCGGAAGCTTCGATTCTGTAATGCTGCTCTCGAGGACGGTCGTCCTTCAGCATCGTTGGACACCGAGGTATCCTGCTACCAGTGGATTCCTTTGGCATGTTCGTGGGCCGTTGATTTGCAATTGTGCCGATGCTTAACTTGTCCGTGCGAGGTGCAGGGGCTTCTGCCCCCACCTCTGCGGGCCCTTCGCATTCTGTCCAGGCTTCTCAAGGCTTGCTTATATACATTCGCAAGATCTGACCTTTTGTGATACGTCTGCTACGCCGGAACACCGCGGCTTGTGAGGCTGTTGCTCCGCCGGAGAAGGCAGCGACATCTTATGACACGGAGACCTGGCGAGAGCTCTGGAGGGAGATCCTCAGCAGGCAACATAAAATTAGGTTCTCCACTGTGAGGAAAAGAGTCAGTGATAGAGGGTGTCTGCGGGTTGAATGGCGCCCGCCAAGCCGCCAAATTTTCTCCCGCCAAGGAGCGAGCGATTGGTTGGCCTGGAGGCCTCGGAAAAGCCAGCCGTCTTCGCCGGCCTGCCATGATCGGAAAAAGCCTTGCATCGCGGCATGAGACACAGTCGGCGTGCAACATGCGCTGTGTCCGACGATACAACCTGCTTCAGGCACAGCCCAGATACAATATGTAGTCTGAGCAATAGCAGACGTTGCGGGTTTACGACGTTGATGCGGATGCTGGTGATAGCTACATACTACATCATATATCGAAGCTTGCTTGTTGGTTTGTCAGCCAGTGCCATGCGCCGCTTCGGAGTCCTGGGTTTGCGCGGCCCCGAGCCTGGAATGGCCGAAGCGTCTTCGGCGCCGAAGTCGCTGAAGGCCTCGCGGAGTCTGGAGTGTCACTGTCTTGAAGGGTTTTGACACATGCACTCACACACATTTATCTGCATGTATCTGTCTGTCTGGCTGTCTGTGTGTCTGTACGTATGTGACGTATGTTTATGTATATATATATATGTGTGTATATATATATATATACATATATAACTATATGTATGTATGGATGGATGGATGTATGTATGAACCTCGCCTGCTGCGTCGAGTGCGAGTGCTAAAAAAAGGATGCATGTACGTGGATGGAACACTTTACTTTGCATGCGCATATGATGAACACATGCGTTTATATATGTATGTGTAGATATGTATAAATATAATATAAATATAGATATAAGTATAATATACATATATATATATATACACATACACACACATGTAATTACAGACCCTGTAAATTGCACCCGAAGTGAGGAGAACTTTGACGGACCTGGGGGTTTGGTTCTGCTAGACAACTTTGAGTCTCAACTTGTATTCAGCGAAAATTTAGTCCTTTGCTCGTTTTCCGAAGTTGCCGCATCGATCCCTTGTCTGTTCATTATCTTCGCCGTTGTCAATCTGAACAACCTAAACAATAAATATGGAACATAGCACAAGAGTAAACACATTTTGCAGCTAAAGTATAAACACAGGTACGTTGTGTTCCCTGTGACACATGCGGCAATCTGTAGGTTTAGAAGTTGGAGCTTGTTGGGCTTTCTGAGTGAAGGAGGTCATGACATTTTGTCGTGTCGCTTCTGGAACTCCATGCCAGAACGAATACATGCATGCGTATGTATGTATGTATGTACGTATGTATGTATTTATGTACGCACACTGTGTATGCATAGCTTGAGCTATAGATGAAGACAAATAGCAATGTACACATGTAGAGGTCTACACAGTGATAATGCACATTGATACATCCTGTAGTCGGTACAAGGGCACAGGTCTCACAAAAGCAGAAGCTCCTCCTTGTTGATGTAAAGCGCAAGGCCCTGAAGGAGACTGCAGCCAGAGCGCTTGGCTTTGTGCATCCAGAGAGCGGCAACGTCGACCCCTGAGACCACTGCCAAGTTGCTGCACTGTGGCTCCAAAGTCCTCGAGGAAGCTTCAGGCTGTGATGCACCAAGCAAGCACGTGGAACAGTACCTGCCGACCTTATTGCACCACTACATATGGGGTTAGGCAAGACGACGGATGGACATCTCCACCGAAAGTCACTAGTGGCCCAGCACCTGCCCGAAAGCAAGTTGCCATGCATTCTTGCCGACCGAGCCGCATGATGCGGTGGTATAATACACGGATGCGAGCCCTATTGTCGCCGGGTCTTGCGTCCGGGTCGCCCCAAACTACGGTGTTTTCTCGCACAGGCCACACTGGCGGCCATGCTGCAGAACACTGAAAGAGGTTTCTATTATTTCTATTGCACCTGTGCATTTCGCGATTTTTTGAAGCACGACGTTTCGACTGGTCTAGCGCCTTGAACCTTGAAAGCCTCAGCCCGAATACACCCAAAGACAGAGGTCTGGAAGCCACGGCGCCTGTTTGCGGACACGCCAAGTGGAAACCTCCGGGAGCTCTCCGAGACAGATGCCCCGACTGACCAGGCGCGGCATTATTCCCCAACGCCTCCGCACTTGCTCTTTCTCTTGCCCTGAATATCTCATGCTTCATCTCTCTCTCTCTCTCTCACTCTCGGTCTGTGTCTTTGTCTGTGCTTCTCTGTCGATCTCTGTCGCGGCCTTTGCCTCCGTCTTGTTCTCTCTCGCTGCACTACCTGCTCTCCCTCTCTCTCTCTCTCACGCGCTCTCTCCCTCTCGCTCCCGCTCTCTCTCTCGCTCTCTCTGTTTCGGCTCATCGACAAAGTCTTCAAGCTATCTGCTGTGAGAAGTCCTTGTGCTACAGCATGCCAAACTGTCTGAACACCGTCGTCCCCGCAAGGCTTAATGCACCTTGCTCTCCAGGGTTATTCGGAGCGGACCTCTTGCATAATTTGTCGTTTGCGGCTCTTAGTGTTTTTGGACTTGCATCGGGTGGAAAATCGCAGTTTCTCTAGCCAATAAATGGTACGACATCAAGCTCGTCAATGAATGTGCCCAAGGAGCATGAATTGCTCAGTTCTGAACGCACCGAGGTGCCCAGCAGTGATTGGAATACTGTGCTCACGGCCGAATTCCAAAACGCACGGCTTTCACACAAGTCAAACTTGTGAAATCTTGTGAACTCGTTTAGCACGCCTCTCAATATTTGGAAGGTTTAGCAAGAAAGAAATATTGCCGAGTTTGCTAGTCGAAGTGTCCGAGATGGTTTGAGGTCATTCCCGAAGATTGCACAACCGATATAACTTGAAGACAACAGTTCCTTCGGCACAATGAGTAACTTATCGACCTTCGTTTCGTGGTCGCAGATCCAAAGCAGCAGAAGGCTGAAAAGGTTCATGGCTTGCCAAGGCTAGTGCAGTCTTCCACTCCTCCACAACCTCCGGAATGTCTCCTTCTATGCTTCTGCATAAGCTTTTCCTGGAAACTAGCAGGGCAAACCTACCATGCACCGCCCTCTGGGAGCAGCTCTCGATATAATTTCCACCTTTTCGGCTCATTGTGGATCCGTCGTGCCCTTTTCTGCTTTTTGGGCAGACTATCCTAGACTTATAAGCTTCTGGGCTGGCTTTTGGTTGTGATGGGCAGGTGCTGTGGGTGGAGCCTCCATGGGCTCCTGGCAGCGTCCTTGCGGGCGGCCTCACCTCGCATCACCAGTGGGGTTTCTTTGGCCAACGACAGAGCACCCGTTAGTTTATCTTAGATTGCCAACATCTGAACTCAATGAATCTGATTCTCCGACACAGAATCCAAGCGCATCTCAGGATGGGGCCCATGGATCTGGCACAGGTCTCGGCAGAAGGGCTCAGTGGGGTTCTTTCGAGACACATAAGTGTACTCTTTCAACTAGAAATTGGGCAGTCCGTGATGCATGGCTGCTGAAGCTAGAGATTGGCTGCGTTGTGTTTCTGTGGAGCGCTCTCCTGTGAGGCTGAGCCGCGTGACTTGCTGTGCTACACCCCTGCTGCTTTTCCGACGGCGCGGTGCTGCTGCCAAGGGCGGACGAGGCTGGAAACATTGAAGCCAAGTCCAGGTTCTAATCCTTTCTCCTGCTGCAGCATGTCCTCTCTGGCCATCCTGCCCTCTCAGTGCGACCGTTTGGGGGGGGGGGGGTAATCCGAGAATGTACACCGGCGCGTTCACGCCGGTTCAGTTGCCCTACAACAACTGTAGTACTGTGGCAGCGCTTACCACGGTCTCACTGCATTTCCCTGCCAGAAGCTGGCGAAACCTTTGCAACGACTTGCGGTTCGCAGACTTAGGTCCACATTGAAACTGGAATCCTTTTTGCATCCCGGTCGCTGGCACAAGCAAAACTTGCGCGCAGAATCCGAACTGTCGTGTGACCACGACGCGAGAGACCTCGTCTGGCCGAGTTCGAGTTGCGAGAGCATAAAACCCCAGCCCCAACCGTAGGACTAGGACAAGGCCCCGCGTGTAGCCATCGCACTTGAAAGCAGTTGGTGGTGTTTTCTCAGTACTTCGTGATAGTACCGCACTCGCAGCTACCGATCATTGGAGGCATTGTCAGAGTGTTGGGATTAGCAGTAAGTTGACCGGCATCAGTCATCATCCTACAAGATCATGGCCAGATACATGACATGCAAAGACATGGCATAGACAAACAAGACAAACAGCAAACAGATGACTGATATTAGACCAGAAAACCGCCCAGTGGCCTGCTTATGCCAGGTAGCCAGCGGCGCGATGCCCCGAAGCCTCGACGAAAGGTTGGATTTCAGGATCTTATAAGGAGACGAGAAGGATACTGATGACGTCCTCTGCGGGCTCTGGGTACTGTGTCGAGGGTGATGCTGTTTGGGATTGAACTTCCTGGCTTGTCTGCTCACAGGCGGCCAAGCTGTCGCATTTGGTTGCGCTTCGCGCTCCTGGCCTGGAAGACTGAGTAATGGTAGCGCTTGCATGTCTCTTTCGGTCTGACGAGGTGTGGTTCAGCGAGCCCTGTCCTGTGACGTTTCGCGACAGTAAACACAGGCATTCTGCTGAGGTCGGTGAGGAAGCACAGCAAAGAGCTTGCAAGCTGCAAGAGGCCACAAGAAGAGCAATGTTTGCACCACCTTTGTGCTCGCTCCAGCAGAATGTGTGTTGACTGAGCACGTGCTCGTAGCATTATGCGGCTGCTCTCTGCAGGAACTTGTGAGCCGAGCCCATGGGCAAGTACAGCAGGGACTGCAGAGGCCGAATCTGGCAGAGTTCTGAGGTCACCGACGACATGAGATACTCCTCATGTTGCAGAGAATGCAAGGCTTGACAAACTCAGAAGCTCCTGCCGCAGGTCTTTGATGCCTGTGCAGAAGCTGCACCTTACAATGGCGGTTCTAACGCTGCGTTCGGAGCAGGACGTGCAGGTCGATGTGCGGCCTGTCTCCTGTCACAACTGCATGAGCTATCATGATTTGAGGCCTGTATCGGAGCGCAGCATGCCGCAGGCTGCCAAGCTTGGTTTAGCCAATGCCGCTGCCGAGTTTGCCAAGGATTACCCTGGAGTCTCAGCGGCACTTCGGTTTAGTAATCTTTCAGGAAAGCCGGGTCCCCTGGCAGGCAATGTGACTTGGCTCGGACAAGAGATACACAAACTGTTGACGAACCTCTAAGATCGATGAACCCAGAGATCGTTGCAAGGATGATGGGGTTTGTCTCTACCGGCTTGATGTTGAGCCATTCGTAAGACAAGCACTTGGGTCTGTAGTTTGGTTGAGTGTGTGCGGAGCCCAGCGTTTGTGTACCTTGGTTCTGCTATTGATATTGGCGAACCGGACCATTGGGATTTCATGCAAATGTCAGTTTGAGAGGGGTTGAGGAGCACACGATGAGATGGCGGAGTGTCAGACCTTTTGTTCCAAAAGGGGCCGGCCTCTGTTAAGCGACCCGTAGCCGTGGGAGGTACGGGCCAGATGCCGAGTGATCCGAAACCAGTTCGGTCAAGTAAGTAGTTGAAGCGAGTGACCATTGCTGACCATGCGCTGTGCGCCTCCTGCAGAGAGTCTAGAGTCTAGAGACATCTAGGCACGGGCAGGTTTGGGAGTGCGACAGGTAACAGCCGAGCGGGTGGATGACATAGCTTAACTCCAATGTGCATTTCCTTCTCAGGGCCACTGCACTTTCGCCTTTGCGGTCTGGACTCAGATGGTGACACGGTCCGATGCCCGGGACAAACCGGGGTCACTACAAGTCCCTGAACCGCTCCAGTTGTGATAAGGTTCTCTTCGCCAAAGTGCGGCCGGAGGACGAGGCCAGCCTGCGCTCCCTGCACAGGCGGATCCAGGAGCGGATGCTTGCGGGCGAAGGCCCCCCCCCAAATGCCAGCCGTATCGGGCACACAGCATACAGCTGAGCCTTGACAGGGGCAGTGGCGAGCACCTCCTCACCCGTCGCCGAGCCTGAGCAGAATGACCAGGAGCTGCCCAAACGCTTCGTAAGCCCGTCGAACCCTCAAGGTAATTAGTTAGAAAGGTGTCCTTTGCACGCAATTCTTAGTTGAGCTGCTTTGTTGTTGAAGTTGCGCAGAGTTTCTGAATCGAGGAGCAGATCACAACCTTGTCCAACGAGAAGCTCAGCCGGTACCTAACGTCGATTGCTTAGTGCAGCCCATGGTGAGGACCCCTTGGGCAGAACGGTACTCCATGCTGCACAGCACAGCGAACTGCTTCCATGTGCAGCACAGGATTGAAGGAAACACATTCTCATCTTATCCACTTTCCATGTCCCTTCGTCTTTCAAATCTTTCAAAGCTTTCAAAACTCGATGCATATCTTTCCTGGGCTCCCAGGCGTGTCCTCCGTCACGATGCCGTGCGGCTCGGGCTCCCGCTGCGCAGTGATGGATCCGTGGGGCTGCAGGACCGGTCTCGGACCTTATAGGATGCCTTGTGTTTTGCGTCATTTTTTCAAGGGGGGTTTTCCAGGCCAGAAGTGAACGAGCAGGGCTCCTGGACCCGAGATGGAATTGGTTGGCTTTCATGCCAGGAATTGCTTGCTTTGCCTTTCTTCAAGTCAAACGGCTTTGTGGAGCAACTTGCCTCAAATGTTGGGGCCTCTTCATGGTTCTGTCACTTCCGCTTGCGGGCTTACGGATACTGACCGTGGGCGGGGGGTGGGGGGGGGTGTTCATGCGGAGCAACAGATGCCCAAACGACTTCCAGGTAGTTCATGATAGTTCCGTAGTGCCCCCACCTGCCTACCAAGGAAAGATGTGGAGGCGGAAGTTCGCTGCAACAACAAGCAGCGGTTCCAGCTGTGGACAGAAGATGGTGCTGGACGCATTCGTGCGAGCCAGGGCCACAAGATGAAGGAGGCGCGACATTTCACACAAGTGTCACACGATTGCATCCGCCCGAAGACAAGCGAGTTTCGTGTCACGCAGGGAACTTAGAATTTTAGTGTGTTTTGACAACTTCGACGTTAAGGTGGTGGACTCGGAGTTGCTGCAGCCCGTCCAGCGTGCGGAAGATCTTCCCATCTGTATCTTGCAGCAAATCCACGACGGTTCCACTGTCTCTCGCATGCCTTCCGTAGTCCATGATCGGGAGCTTGTGGATGACCCCTGCGTTCTTGGATGAAAGGGGCCCGTGAGAAGTGAGGTATCCATGGCACCTACTTCACGAAGTGGAGCCCGAAGAAGAAATGTCAGGTGCAAGTCTGGAGCCAAATCAAGCAGGAGGGGCTGAAGCCGATGGGACGAAACCACATACACTTCGTGCCCCACGAGGCCTGGCTTTCGGGGGACATGGAGCGAAGCTTTTCGATGCCGAAAGGACGGAGAGACGACAAATGGATTCTGTCTCTTTTGACCCGCCTCTGAGTGACAAGCTTTTGTGACATTGAGGGAAATGATAGCGCATGGCGGCGTGGATACGTCGAGTGTTTGGGAGAAAGGTTATCCAAACACAAACAACTACTCGATGCACACGTAGCTTGCAGAACCCATTGACCGGGACCTATTCCACGCTGGTCTCACCAAGAATCCTCAACAGTAGCTTGTCCTTCGCTCCCACAGACCAGCCTTGGAGAACAGGCTAGATGCACTTCCAAGAGAACGACAGACGACAACAAGACCAAAACAAAGTGGGACGCGAGAGAGACACGACTGCTCCGTTCCGGCATTCTTGAAAGGTTGGCTCCCGCACGGTCATCAGCGGAATGCGAGAAGGCAGAACGGGTCTAACAGGCTAGTTCTATGCAGGGCACTCGGCGTAGTATTCTAGGATTCTATATAGCATACTTAGATACTGGGGCCCTGGAAGTGGTACACATCGTTTCGGCCCAGACTGTGCCGTGGCCATCTACCTGGACGTGCCAAAGGCGCTCGAGCAGGGAATCAAGCTGTACCGCTCCGCCAACGATGTGGTCGCTCGATATTGACTTTGAACTGAGCTTGACATGCGAAATTACAAATATCTCCTTGAGTGGAGAAGACATGAATGAACCCTTTTGTTTGCAGGGCCTTCACGACTCGTGCAGCTGCGGCCCTGTGCCATACATACATTTTCAGTTGCAGTCCAGTTACCTATTGTTTCGGGGCTGGTTAGGGTTGTTTGGGAAAGCTTTGCGACTCAGCATGTGTCAGCGCCGCCCCGTTCACTCAGATTCTTACCCGTGGGGATGAGTCTGGTAGAATACCTCCGGCTTTATTCCAACGTGTGGTGGAGATCAAGAGTGGCCGGTGCCTTTGGCTCCTCGGAGGAACGTGGGTGAGGGTTTCGGGTTTTGGCGTTGCCGGTCATGGCAGCTTAGGCCAGTTGAAGAGCCCTGCGCCGACACGACCGACAGCGAGACGGCCGAAGAGGCCTTGCCTTGCACCTAATCTCGACCCCACTTCAGGCTCAGCCTTAAAGCGCGGAAGGGCAGCGGTTTGGCGGATTAGGTTTTGGAAGAGTGAATTCTGAAACCATTCATGTGTCCGGCCACACGCCAGCATGCTCCGTTTTATGCCACGTTGCTATTACTCACATTGACATACAATTTACGAAGCGCGGCTGCGACCCGTTTTGCAAGAGATGAGTGCCGAGAGCAGCAAGCTGCTTGGCCCCTTGAGTGAGGTCCGGCGTGGCTCCTCAGCAGCACTTACAGAAACTTCGGTTCGCGCAGGCTCGCTCCTGGTTGAGATCAGGCTTCCATCCGCACGTGAAACTGGCAAAGACCAGCAGAGCTCACGGCAAAGCGCGGATTCCGAAAGCATGTTGGCAGGCCAGACATGGATATGCTTGTAGGAGGGCTGGCAGATGGCCTAGAGGCTTCAAGCGCTAAACGCACAGTCCGCATCGTGCAGGAATTCCGAGACACCGACCTTGGACCAGTGGTTGTGGATCGTTTGGAGCTCTGTCGGATGAAGGCTGATGGAGGAGGTGCCAAATCCCCATCGGCTCGCTCGAACATGATCCTGAAACAGAACGAACAAGAAGACAGAGAGAAAAAGAGAGCCCTCTGTGCATAAGTGTGTGGAGGGTGCACTGGACCGTGCACCCCCTCAGAGACGGAGGGAGAGCGAGCCTTTCTGCTTCTCGATTTGTGGACAACATACAGCCTGTCAAGTCCTCACTGGACAGGCTACTACCAGATTGAAGCTTCGGTCCCACTTGATCACGGAAGTTCATAGTTGAGGAGGCCTTGCATGGTCTTGCCAACAGAGCAGACCTGGCCAATAGCGATGCTCAAAGATTTTAGCATTCTCGGCCGCTTGGTTCCCCTCAGATTTTCCAAGAACGGCCGAAGCGCGGCCGAGAAAAAGGAACTCATGTGGTAAGGCTTCGCGAGAGGGCAGCGCTCAGGACTTTTCGGAGGGTGGATCATTTAAAGCGGCCACTCCGTGCACTGAGTGTAACCAAACTTGGTCTTGCTGCTTCCAAGGTCATTGATGCTGCCGTGCACTTCTCCGGAGAGTTCGCGACAGCCTCGGTGCAACGGGGCAATCTGAGGAGCAACGGTCGCCAGACTGCTGCATCGACTTGCGGTTTCCATGGCCCAGGTATTTGTGAAGAGTTATCTGGAGAGGAGGGGTGGGGTGCTACTGCTAATCTTTTGGGAACCGTACGAGCCCGAGTCATCGAGCTTGTTTGGCCTGATCCGAGAGAGGGACTGCTGCGAAGATGCACCGAAGAACAAGCAACGCACATCGTGACTAATCTTCAAGTCATTGGTTGGACTGGAAGTTTGACGTATTGTGGGGCCCTCTTGTGGCCTTTGCAAGAACACGGAGGGCCGCTACTCTTGTCGTCTTCGTTTCCTTCCTTTCAAGGTCAGCCTTTCGCTGGAAGACATCTGAGGAGGAGGCAAAAAGCCAGTCTCAAGCCAAGTACAGGAGACCGGGCCAGGCTGCATTCACAGTGCGGACTCTTGCATAGCTTGGAGTCGATGCAACTCAAGTTTAGCGTTGCCCGCGATTCTCATTGTCTCACCTCCTGCACAAGAGAATGCTTTGTTACAGCTCACTCTGCGAATCGTTAACAAACATCGATCTGGCACCCCAGCCTCGGCAGCATTAGGCCAGCAGTGTCTGCGAACTTAAAGAAAGCGCAGGCTTCTAGTGTTGTCCCTTGTTGCAGGCTGGAGCACTCGTCTTGGCCGGCGTGTTCTTAGACGAATGGTGCAGTGGTTAATTGCTCCGGAATAGTTTGCGCTAGCTACACCAATTGGAGGTTGCAGTTCCATGCTCAGCTTGCAAAGCTGCATGTCGAAAGCTCGGGCTCGACATCTTATTCGAAGCCGCAATATCGCGCAATGTCGAACTTTCGGTATGGTCACAAGTCCACAGAGCCCCTCTAATTCAGCGAGCTCGATGCACCGGCATGTGTCCTGGCCCCATGGCCGTCACTGTCGAGGTGGTGGCGGTCAGCGGCAAAATTCTGTTCGCGTTTTGTCCTGCAAGATGCTTTTGCTTCATTTGTATCTTTGCTATTGCCCGCTATTGCATCTATTTCTGCTACTCTGCTGGGGAGGCTGGCTTGGCCCGAGGGTTCAACCCTGCAGTGACCATGCGATATAATTACCCATCAGTCGTTTTGAGCACTGAGTCGGGACAGAGTCCCAACAACCTTAGTCTAATCTCAGTTTTTGGTTGTGACATCCTTGTCTTGTACCCCTGCTCGGAAATGGCGGAGAGCAGTGGGGTTCTGAAACAGCATCACAGCTGGCTGTCTCCATCTGCGGATCCTCTAAGTCACTAGGTGCAACCGGAGTTGGGGAGCGACCTCCGGTGTTTAAGGCTGGCTCTTTGCCGGGATGCTTTACCGTGAGGGAGCTCAAAGCAAAGTTGGGACAAGTGGAGGACGGCACTCCCGGAAGTGTTCTAGGTTGCGAAACGAGTCATGCAATTGTCTTCGTGGTTGTTGCTTGCCCCTATGGCCAGTGGCGAGTGAAGAAAGGCCGGCAGCAGGGCATGCTTGATGCGGCTTGGCTGCTGATCCGGGTTCACACCACACAGTAGATAGTCTCTATGGTGTTTTTTTATTTTTGCCACGGTTTGGCTCTACGCTTGCGGCTTGGATTCTCTTGGTTCGTCGTGTTGCTGCAGTTTCGCTTATGAATCTTGTGGGCTCTGTGGTTTCACATCTTAGCTTTGAGAATCCAGTGAAGGCCACAGTAGGCCAACGTGCCCGTTTTCAGGAGTGAGTGCCGGATCAGGCGCCTTGTGTGTGCAAGCAGCCTACGTGCCAAATTTTAGAAGGGAGCACGACATTACGCAGCATGGGGCCTGCATGGCTCTTCCAAATACTTCTTATGGAGATGAAATAAGCCCGGCAAGATGGATGTATACAATATGGACTGTATGGATAACTCCCACAAAGCACGGCTTAAAGAGGTCGGGAAAAACAACGAGGGGCTTTGACTGGAGAGTGCCGGGCCTGAGCACGGGTGGCTGCAGGAGCAGCGGCTGCTTCACGGGACGCGGTCTCTGGATGATGCCGAGCTACTGCAAGCTTTGGCATCCGATGAGGCGCGCCCGGCCCTGAAACCCCAGATACTGGTACTTAGTGCTTGAAAGCGTCCGATAAACAGGTACTTATACCATGCTCAGACCATCAGGGCATTGCACAAGTCCTGATGCAAAAGTGTGCTTATACCTTATACCGCTTCTCTCACAACTGTCCTGTGTACGCGGCTGCAAACCGGTTAACTCATCTTCAGCCTCTGTGAAGTCTGCATGCTCAAGAGCGACTGGGCATGATGATACCTAATAGGGCATGCAAGCTCCTGTGCTTCAGGCTCTTCGTCTGGTTTGTGTTCGAACTCTTCGGCGTCTAGCTGTCAGCGGCGGAAGCGACCGAGGGCTTTCCTGCAGCATTACTGCACGTTTGCTCACGTCGTGGAGACTACTGTTGTCTCGTCGTCAGCCGGCTAACCTGGAAAGCCCGGACATTGCAAACGAACACGGGTAACTGAAACACACAGAACAAGTGGAAACAAGGAAAGCGTGAAGAAAGCGCCAAGCCGATGGTAACACCATGAGCCGCAGGGGTGAAGAAACACCAGACTAGGTTGAATTCTGCTTTGCTACGGCTTGTCGTGTTTTGCCTTTACGATAGCTCCCAACGTCGTAGAAGACTTGGGCAGGCTCTGCCTTTGGGATTTGGACCGTGGTCAGGCTGATTGCGACTTGGTGGGGCACACGTTCCTCGATGGCACCTCAGCACGCAGCTGCAGCTGCCTGAATCGATGCTGTGCTGTGCTACCCTGTCATCCCTTGTCCTCCTAGGTCCGCTATCCTGTGCATATCGGTGCATTGGCCTTCGCAAAGGGCACTCACTGGCAGCAGGGACCGCTCTGTACAGTGCCTTGGTGAGAAATCAGAGCCTGATTGGCTCCACCAGAGCCTTGTACGCGTTTAATGTCTAACATTGCAATAGAATCGCAACAGGCTGTGGCGATTGTCTGGCGAGTGCTTGCTAGAGATGCCCCCCGGATGCAGTACTGACATTGCCAATGTCTTAAGCACGAATGCTGGTCTAAGTATCTTGCTGAACAGGCGGGGGCATCTGGATGCGGCAACTTGGTCTCTGCAAGCTGTATGGTGCCCGCTACGTCATGCCATGCCCACCAACCCTTTATGGACCCTCACTCAGAAGACCACATGTTTCGGACAGCGAAATGCTTGCCTGCATAGTGCGTGAGCCTCTGTGCCGAAGTGAGAAAATCCAAAGAAGCTTGTCAGTTGTGGGCATCTGGATAGTGACAAGGTCCAGTGCCTGTCGGCAGACTGGGAGACAAATGTTGCTTTGTCGGCGAGCCTGGATCAAACGCTCGTGTGGCCTGGCTGGACCATAGCTTGTGCCATGTGCACGCACCGATATGAAAGAAAGACGAGTCCGCTTACGTGCTTGTAGTTCGTAGTACCAAGCATTTGACACACTCAGGTATTCTCGTACGGAAAGCTTGACGCTAGTGAGTGTTTTTTTATTTTATCAGTTTTTGCACACCTTGCGACATGCACCAAGCGGTTCGGATGTGAATGCTGTCGGCCAGCATTTTGTTTGATCCCCTGTCGACTGCTTCCCGTTGCCCGTGCCTACTCCTATGGAAGAACTGCGGAGGCATGGATAAAACCAAGAAGATTGGCCCCTGACCCCACCATGGTCAGATGTATTCAATACCTACCGGACCTACCTGTAGCCCGGCAAGAGAAACCTTTGAAAGAGACGTAAAAAGCGGCCTGGCTGGCCTCGGGGCCGACGAGAAACGAAGCTAGTTCCATTCCACCTCGTAGAGCTATCCACACACTTCCTCGCACACATCGTCTAGAAATTACCAATAGTGTCGGGTGTCCCAGAGGAATCCAATGAAGCCGCTCCCAATCCGATCCTGCCCAAGCCTCTCAGAAACGAGGTTTTGGGATCTGGACACTGGCGAGATCTTGCAAGAATTGATGGAGACTCAGCTTGCAATCGCGGAAGGAAGTGTTTTCTTCCGCCAAGACAGCCCGCCCTAGCTTTCGCCTCGTCCAATAAACAGTGGATTCTTTGGATTGACTTTGAGGTGCTCGAAGATCATGAGCTGATAGTTTCGTTGTGCACCACCGTTTGCAGCGAGGACCATGCAAGCCCTGCTGTCAGCCTTGATGTGGATTGGGTCGGCCGACAGGTTCCACCGGGAAGACAGCGAGAGCATGAGCATGGAACGAGTCAAAGCTTGTAGGGTGTGTGAGTGTGTGTGTGTGTTGTAACTGTCTTGACACACGCGGCGGCGTGCTAGACTTTGAATGTCTAGTCGCCCACGTGGCTCGCACCCACAGGCTCTGGCCGGTGCCATGGACGGCTCCTTGCAGCTTTGGGACGGTTGGTTCGAAATCCAAGTGCAGATAGCTCTGTGAGGAAGCTACATGTTGTGGACATGGGTGGCGAGCACATACTGTATAATGCAGAAATCACTGGCAAGCCAGGATGTGGCTTTTCGAAGCAGTAAGGTGAACCAGTGCAGCACAGTCGCGGGATGGAGAAGTTGTTGAGGAGTTGTCCTGAAGAATCACCTTTGCCTGCCATGAAACAAAACTCAGCACAGGATTGTGGGGTTCGGTGTCCCGCCTGGACCACAGGACCTGCGAAGCACAGCTGCTGAACGCCGGAACAGCCACCAAGCAGAACTGCGCTTCCTGCGGGCAGCCCAAGCTGCACACATCCTTGCCTACATGCATACATGCATACCTCCTACCTTCCTGCTGCCTACCGACCGACCCCTTTCTGTCTACTAGCCCGCTACCAGCTTGCTCGCTACTTAGAGGCTCAGCTATCTGCTAGCAACCGAGCAACCGTACTACTTGCCTACCTTGCCGTGCCTGCCTCCCTGCAACGAACGTACCTACCTGCCTGCCTGCCTGCCTGCCTGCCTGCCTACCTACCTACCTACCTACCTACACCTGCCACATACCTGCCTACCTACCCACACATACATATGGACATACATACAGTTACAACATACAACATGCAATCCATACTCTTACTACACACTCTACACTCCTAGAAACTGCTTTGTTGAAGACGCGTGCATCTCGTGCACAATGCATTCGTTTGAGCTTGCAAACTCAGGCAAGCTGGAACGACCTTCAAGCCGTGAGTGGAGATCCCTCCGGCCGTGTCGTCTTGTGGGATCTCGCTCCGCTTGAAGTTCTCCGTCCGCAAGAAGTAGGACGCCACACTAGTTGGACGGAGTCAGTTTACGCATTGCCAACTTAATCATTCTGCTTGGCGTGTCGCCGTTGCATTTGATGGGAAGGCTTGAGCCAAAAGCGGGTTGAGCAGTCGAGTATGACAAGGCCGATCAAACACTCGGCTTGACAGGCTCTGCGGCTTTGTTCTCCCGATGGCCCAGCCATCACTTGCATGCCTCTCGACGCAAGGTTACTGCAAGGTGCTTGAAAGGGAGACCGCGGTAAATGCAGAGAAGTCACGCCAGCACGCAATTCGCAATAAAATCCAGGTCGGTGAACCCTGACATGCGGGAGGTCGCAGCTGGGGGTATTGATGGGACCCTGTACTTCTGGAGCAGCTCAGCTTGTCACAGACATGGAAGTACCAGTAGCAGCTTGCACATCTCACGGCCACAAGCGAGGCTGCGGGGAGGTTCGGAAGCGCAAAGCGATCCAAGCACATAGTTGCTTTCCTGAATTACGGCTCAGCTGCGTCCGTTTCGCACCGTTTGGACGGAGTTGGAAGGCTCTGCCGTTTTCGTGCTGGAAGTCGACTGGGCTGGGCGGAGTGCCTTGACATCCGGTGACGATGCTTTCCAGCATTTGGCCAGACTGCGGAGGATGTCGTGCATCCAAAACATCTCTGGCCATGTCCTGTCGACTGTGCTTGCGTGAGGATGGCAGGCTGTGTTTTTGGAATTTGATTCTGGGGAGCTGCCTTCGTGTGCCCTGGCAGCGACCAGACATCTCCAACTTGCGGAATCAACCTCAAAGCCTTCTTGCAGACCCGTAGTTTCTCGAGACAGCTGTGGAGTGCTATGACATCCATTTCACAGATCGTGCAACAGGGCATCGGCATTCAACCCAAAGCAGACACGAAACTCAACGGTATCTTGGCATCAGAAGGTCCTCTCTGGGCATTTAGACGCAGTGAGCTGCCTTGTAGCTGCTTGGCCGCATCAAAGTCCCGCAAAGTATGGAGAGATGTTTGATACGCCTTGTGCGCATGGACATACATCTGCGTGTTTCTTGGTTGTTTGGTTTAGCTGTCTTTAGCCATCTAGTTGGAACGAGTTCATATTGGTTCAGCATCAGTGGAGTCAGGAAGAAAAAGGATGGCGAGAAGACCAAGCCGCCAGTAGCAGGTAGGATCAGGAGTCTCGCATCCAGCTTACAACAGAGGATGCCCATGAGAGGTGAACTGGCCTTCGGCCGTGGCCATTAGCGCTGCTGCAGATTGCACCCTGCGACTTTGGGACCGCGGACCTGCGCCAAAAACTGGCTGAAAGCTGAAACCTCCTGCTCACCCCCCGCGCCATTGCGCAGGATGTCGGGAGAGGCCTCTGTAGCCTGGCAGCATGTCAGCGATGCCACACTGAGTTGGATTTTTCGTGGTCCTCAGACCCAGGTCTGCGCTGCCTCCCAAACCACAGAATTACGGCTCTGGAGGTGGATTGGGAACAGCAGCGAGTCCTTGCTGTAGGGGCAGCCGCCCGGCACAGAGGGAAAGAACACTTGGGAACTGCAAGTTCAAGCTCGAAAAGCTTGGTACAGTAGATTTGCATATCACTACCAAGATCTTCGGGGTATGCACTGTTGATTTGTATAGTGTTCCACGACCAGTGCAGTCGAGCACACACACATGCACACGAAGTTATAAACTGTATTGTAAAATTCTACCTGCTGCGGTATGCACATACGCACCCGAGGACCCGGTGGTTCGACTTCGCGACGTCTTCCGCCGCGGCGTTTGCGTCAAGGAATTGCCAGAGCACCTGGCAGGAATCGAGAGTTCTCTAATATTCTCTAATTAACCTTGCCAGATCGAAGAAGAACCGTTCCTTCCTCGCAAGAGTAGCCGATGCCTTCTGCAAGGTATGACCGGACCGTCTTCTGCGTGGCAGTTGATTGGGCTGCCATGCACGCGTTGCTGCTTGCCAAAAAGTACAAAGCCGGAAGGGGCTGTACTTTGTGTTCCACCATGCACCGGGCGCATTCTGGCGGACTGTTCCACTGCTCATGCAGGACCGGTGGTGATGAGTGTCAACTGATCCTATGGGATCTTTGTTCATCAGAGGCAGCCGTTGTTTTCGAGAAGCAGATGCATGCATGCCGATGCGAGTTTGTGCACAATGCCAGCTCAAGAAAACATGTAGTTTTGACCGGCACGAACCTTTGTTGCACCAGTCCTAATTATAGTTAGCAGAACCCTTGCCCATTTTCGGTGATACTGCCACCAGCCTACCACTAACCCACGAGCACAAGGCAAAAGCGAACACTTTACTACCCATAGCTCTCTTTCAGAGTGATACCCTGTCTATACAAGATGAATGGGATACCGGCAGATTGCGGAAGACATCGTTAGTCTAATGATATGAGCGAAGTATGCAGGAGGAGGTAAGTCACACATTGCCAAGCATTTTAGCAAACTTGGTTTCAAGACCCTGTTCGTAGTTCCGCAGAACAACCTAACACAAAACATACAAGATGACGCTGTAACGACAAACAAGTTTTTCTCTATACCTTTGGGTGAACGAGGTAAGCTTCCTGAGTTTGATCATTTCAGATATGACTACTGCGCGACATGCCATTCAGCACTGGCCATCGACGGGCAGATCATAATCCATGAGTGGGATAAGAAGGACCTCGCAACTCGTGAATGGATATGGTGCGCCCTTACCAGAAGCATAGACTTTAACAAGGTAAGGTTCTTCAAAAGTGTAACCAACCAGAACGAATTTAACGAAGAAACCTTAACAAAATATATAACAACGAGGATCAAGAATTATCAGATACAAGATGAGAATGCAAACAGAGTCATAGATGTGGAGAAGTATGTGAATCACGAGTGGTTTATGAAACGACTGACGAACACATGTTGTAATTGTGGTTGTCGATTTGCATTTGAAATCAAGAATAGTAACCTGTCGAGTAACATGACTGCCCAAAGGTTAGGCAGTCTGTCTGCTCATCATATTATAGACAATTGTGAGGCATGGTGTCGTGGATGTAACACAAGTGCGAAATAAACACCATCATTTGATTTTATTTAGTTCTTCTTTAGCTTCCAATTTTGATTAGGCTTATGTCTTGCTATATATCTCTCCTTTCTTTGTTCGTCCTTATGTTTGGTAAAATCACTGTATCCAGCAGCACCAAATGAAACGGTTTTCTTACCATCAATAATTACGGCATGTTTCTTGTGGTTGAATAACTACAGTTTTCCATTAATGCATCTTAGATATTTCATCTATTAAAAGCTGGTTCTGTCTTCTAAAAACGGTATTCCTGTGTACTGCCTGTAGTTCTTTTAAGGCTTTTTTTCCCTGCAGGTGTTCCTGCAGATGAAACCCATTTATTATATATACTTCTATATCTTCTATACGTCGTTGTATTTATTGTACTTATTGTTGTTTGCTTCCTCAAAAGTTTCTCTTAACTTATGTATACCGATCTTACTTGGTACGATCATGGATCTCATGTTAAGTTCTTCTCGTGGTGTATCCGTGTCTTCTCTTGCACTTTCTTTTAGGTTTACCTTTTATTGGGTCTGGTTCGTGGTTGTCTTCGTGGTTGTTCATCTGCTTGTCTGGCAGAACTTTGTGGGAATTGAAAATCACCACTTGGTGAGGATGACGATGACCCACCTTGTTGTACATTTGGTTGTGGAGGTGCAGGTAGACTTTGCTGTTGAACCGAAGGGGGCAGTGGTTGTTGTGTAGTACCCACATTAGGTTGATTAGGTTATAAAACAACAGAAGGTGGGAGTTGTGCAAAATTTACTGGATTTGGCTTTGCTCTCCATGGATTATTAGGTGGTGTTCGATGTGCTTCTGCATCAAGCAAGGGACGAGGCGGTGGTAAAACCCTTCTCATAACTGCTTCGCCTAATCCGCTTAAAAGTGGTTCTGCCAGTCCTCCTAGTCCTCCTATTACTGATGTTGTCAGGCCTTGTCCTGACGCTATGCCACCTGCAATATTTCTATCTACTCTCATTGTGCCTCTTCCCAAAATTCGTAATCTTCCCTCTTGTTCTCGTTCTACTTGTTGCTGATGTGCTTCAGTTATTGCTTGTTGGCTAGCGTGTTGCGATTCTTGTGCTCTCTGCAGAACGCCCTCTATTTCTCCTCGTGTTAATCCTTCTTCTGTGTCTAAAAAAGCGTCATTAGCAAATTCTTCTATAGGAGTGCTGATATTATACATGTCTGGTTGTGCTGGCGTGTTTGTTCCTCCTTCTGCTCCTGCGTCCCACAATGCCCTGTGAGTAAGATCGTTGTCTGTGGTGTACTCTCATATCATCTGATCTCTTACTATCCGTTCATTAATTCTCCTTTGTTTCACCTTTACTCTGTCTAAATGACCTTTACCATCAACATAAGACCCTCTATTACTAGCCTTGTAGAATACCGCATGTCTGCTAGGGAAGAGTTTTAGTGCTTCTTCATTGTCATTGGCAAGTTCTAATATGTCTTCATATCTAGATATTCTGTGAAATTGCATTTGTTATTTGTTCCCTGACGCTTTGTCTTTAGCCTCGCGAGACATTCGTGCCATTATGTTTCATGTTCGTATTTAGAAATTTACGATTTAGAAAATTCTTTCACTTAATCTTTCCAAGGTTTGTATGTTGTTTATTAAATGTTCTATATATGTCTCTGGGATTCTGGTGTTATGCATTTCTGATCTTAATTTGTCAATTTCCATTGTGTAGTTGTGTTTCACTTGTCCTTCTAATGGTCTACGCTTAAGTGCTAGAATTGTAACTTATGCTTCTCGTGCATCCATCTCTTTTTCAGACTCAATAGGTAGTCAATGTTAGGCTTGTGAAAACTCGGATGCTTCGTTTAAGCGGGGAGTAGCGCGACACTCGGCAAAGCCTCACGAATATTCGTGACGCCTCGCCAGAGGCTTGCAAGCTTCGCGACAACTTCATTAATCCTATCATAAGCATTGGGTTTTGATTAGTTTCGTTAAAGGCAGAATTATCATATTATTAGAATTATGATAATATTGTAAAATAATATAATATGACTGTATATAACCAGTGTTTTTAAGACTGATTATCATCCTTTCCATTGTGAAAGGCAGTGTGTTAGATGTAAAGAATGGAAGAACTTAGTGTATTTTAAACGGTATTATCATGCTAACACAAGCAGGCATATAAGACAGTATAGAACCACGGTTACTTGTTGTGAATGTCTGGATGCCATGAAGAAATGCAAACGATAATCGAAAGACTTAATGAGTTTCAATGATAAACAAACAAGTGAGTTAGGAACATGAGTATAATATAACCACATTTTGTAAGAATTTATGGAATATAATCCGATTATGATTATAACCTTTGAAACTCAACCTAGTAAAATCTATGAGAGAGCCTTTGCCCACTTTGAGATGATAATACCACTTTAGGTAATATGGATGGGGTAACTGGTTATTCCTATGCGGGTCTTGGTAACGGGGTAGTAGTGGCGATATAGTTGGTGATGATGTAGGGGGTATATACGAATAATCCTCTTATCTTATGTGGATGAGGTATTGGGTGGGGCGTAGGGCGGAGTATAGGAATGATCGTCTAATGAGTGGGTTAGTGTAGCTGGTGGTATTCTTACCCAACTGGGGCAAGGGTTCTGCTAACTTCTATTCCCTTTTGGATTGATGTTGTGTCTGAGGATTCACGCCATGGCTTGACAGTTTGGACTCCTAAGCAGGGTCAGCAACAACTGGAAAACATGCCATGCCACGCGCTTCGGAGTGCGAATTTCCCGGCATCTGGGCAACACCCTGTTTCTGATAGGTGCTGCGAAGATTTCAAGGACATCGTGATGCAGTTTGCTGTGTCGAAGCAGCCTCATGCCGGCAATAGGCCTAGCTTGCGCGAGTCGCATGTATTCGCCGGTGATGCAAATCGACGACATGCCCATTCCAACGGCGGTACTAGCATACGCAGAGGACTCGCTGTAATTGAGGATTGGAATGGCCGACGCTGCCTCAGCGGAAGTTGCGATAACAGCCTGCTGCTTTGGAATCTGGATACTGCAGAGGCCATGTTCTCGAAAACCTGGAACAAAAGAAACTAAATCAACCTGGCCTGTAGGCTATGATCGTTGCAGTGCGGGAAGGGAAAATGGACGCGGCGGTTTCGCGCTTTTTCTGAGAGCTTCGTCAGCCCGGAGCTTGACATGCTTGCTGTGTGCAGGTGCTATTACGATTGGCAGGTCATGATGGCGGTGCACGCTGTATCCTGGCAATGTTCGAGAAGTGCAGTTGTTGCGGATTGGGAAGCATCGTTCAGAGCGGAAAGGAACAGGTGTTCTTTGAGAACAGACTTCGTTGCATGAGTTGTTGCTCATGGGCGTTTTTGAATGGTGTTTCGCCCTGATTGCTGACATGGTCGGCCGCCTCGACGGAAATCAAACCTTCACAAAGGGCCTGCTGAAACGAAGCATCAGCGCACAAGCCACACCTGGCAAGAGCGTCGCATGCGCTGCATGCGGGAAGATCAAGGTCGAAGAAGCTTTCCCTACCGCACAACTGGCGCCCTTTTGGTGCCACCGTGGCAAAGGAATGCTGTGCATGAGCTTCAATGCCCTTCCCGTTCGGGATGGGCTGCAACATGCAAACTCGTCTGACCACAGCTAATTTTTGGGAGAAAGGCGACAGTTCCAAGGCATCGGCGTGGCATGGTCAGCACGGCAGGCGCTGACTGGTGGTGACGACTGTGCTCTGCGGCCCCCAGGCATGCAGCTTCGATAGTGATTTGATCATGACGGTGAGTTCAAGTGTTGGATGCCTGCTCAACTAGAGTCACTAGAGATTAGAGTCAGAGATAAAACAACAGCAGTTTCAGTCCTCTCGGAAAGAGAAATCTAGGGTGACAGCAGGGGCACACCGCAAGATTGACTTCGAAAGCTCCCACTGTAACGAGACGTGGCAAGTATTTATGCCATGGCCTTGGCCAAAGGTTGTGGGATTTGTCAACAGCGTCTTGGCATGCCCTTAGTAAGCGCATCTTGACTGCAACCCGTCTGAGCCTGCGATTTGAGTTTCGAGCCCGAGGCTGCCAATGTTGCAGTGCTCGAAGGTCACACTGCTGCTGTTTGCGGCGTGCTGTTGTCGCAGATTCAGTTTTCATTTCGGTTTGATGGCTGTTGCATCTCTTTGTGCATGTCTGCTTAAGTAGCCGTTTCTTGAGTTTGGATATCGGTCAAGTCTGAGGTGGACCTGATGTGGCAGACACAGCAAGCTGCCAGTGCCTGCAAGGATGCCACAGTGCGGATATGGTCACTCGCTCGGAACTACTTGTTGCAAGCGCACCCAACGGAACAAGGGAGCAGAAGTCGACAATCTCGCAGAGGTGCTTGAACCAGCGCTGCTGCACACAGGTGCTGCCACACGACGTGACTGTCAGGCCTGGCAACAGCAACTTGCGGTGTGCCCACGGGGCGCCAGCATAAGTTTCACTGTTTCGGTCTGATGTGCGAAGCCATGTGAAGTCGTGTGCTAAGATGTGCGAAGGTGTTTGGAAGTGGATTGGTCTTCCAGCCAACTTCTCAGTGGCAGTTCTGATGGGCTGGTGCGCCTGTGGCATTGGAGCTCAGAGGAGCTCATGGGGTCCTGCGACAGGGCCTGAACTCTTGATCTCCATGTCTCAACCGCATGGCAAGCAGAAACCCCGCAGAGCTGACGAGCGCCAGGACGTGCAAGAGTTCGAAGGTCACACAGGAGGCTGGGCTGACTGATCTTGGCACGCATCAGTTTAATGTGCTCCATTTCTGTAGCGGTTCGGCCCGTCCGCATGCGTCCACTCCATGTGCTTCACATAGGCGTGACGTGTTTGAGTGTCGACTGGTCGTCCGGCCTGGCAATTTCCGGAAGCCCGGGGCTAAGGAGCCAGACAAGGCCAGGGGAGGTAGGCTTGGCGCACGGATGTGTTTCTGCGAGGTGCGGACAACTCTTTGCGAATTTGGGATTTGAAGGCGGAGGCGAGTAGCTGCATAGCTGCAACACATGCCCATGCACACTGAACGGCAGAGCACTTGTGCAGCAATGCAATTTCATGAGGACGATGCTTCAGACTCCACCTTGTTCCAAGTTGGCGAGGTGCGGGAGTTGGCTATGCAGTCATGCAAGTGACTCCTAGTGCGCAGTGGATAAAGCTGAATGAGTGGTGGCCCAGTAAGCGATGCTCACCTTCGATCTCAGGTGCTTTGCGTTACGATGGGCTGCGGGCCTGGGTTTCTCCAAGGTCAGGCTGCCACGTTGCTGGATGTTGCTGGTCACACAGCAGACACGGTCCTAGTTTCGGATGTTTTGCCATATTGCCAGTACCTGTCGTTGCACTCATTTCTGAATGCATGTGGAACTGAAAGGCGGCGTGAAGACCTGCTCGTCTGGCACATGAAGTGGACGGAGAACGAGATGTGGGTCTACCCAAGTCTATGCATGTCTTTACTTGTGAAAGTAAACATGGGTCGAGTCAGCACACGCACGCACGCACACACACCTGCGTGTGTGCGTGTGTGGATGCTCCCGCGCGCGCCTGCGTCAGCGATGTGGAAGCTCCAGCGAAGACCAAGGGCGGATCCGGCTCTGGAGACGGTGCGCACAATTTGAGATGGACAAAATTATTCCTGAATCGGCAACTATGAGGCCCAGGATGGCTCGTCTCGTGGACACGTGATTCCCACAAGTCCGGCCAGAGAGCTGAGTGGAATGAAGACCTCTTGAATGTCACTGTGGCGGACTGGGAGCTGGAGACATCGTTGACATGCCGGAGACATCAGCTGAAGTGCATGAGGCTGCGAGATCCCGTATCATTGCATTGCAAGGCAAGCAAGGCAAGCACGCAGCTCAGGCATTGCCTGCTTGCGCCTCAGCGATTGGGCGGCCCGACGTCTTTGTCTTTCTGGGACCGGGGATGACACTCATTCGTGGTCTAGCTTGGCACGTACTTATCGACATGAAGGCGCACAGGCTGTCTCACCGGTGATGATGCTCCTCGCCGGCAGAATCTGGCCTTCGTTGTCTGGCAGAGCGGAAGAGCTTGATTCTGCGCCGCTCGTACAAAAAGGCGTCTAAAGTTTAAAACCAGAAGTGGGGTTAATTAATGCATCTGTTTGGATTGGCGACCGAAGCCGACAGAAGGCAAATCCACGGTGCTGCACAGCATCTAGCTTGTCATTCGCACCTACCGTAAGTAGTTTCGGAAATCTGCTTCAGGCTGACACGAATTTCCCCAATTTCCAACCGCGCGACCTAGGAACAGCAACCAAGGCAGGGAGGCCCTATCTTCAAGGCAGCCATGGCATCCATGGCAGACCGCAGAGTTTAAAAGTGTAAAGCCTTACTCCCCAAAACCGTGGAATTAGAAGGAGAGGCGCCGCTACTGCTCCCACTTGGCCGGTTGCACTACCGGTTGGGAAAACACCACACGTTTTCAGGGTGGTGCATGAATCGGCAAGTTTGTTCTGTTTCCGCGGCTCAAAGTAAGGCTTTCCTGTAACCCATGTTGTGATGGTTAGTTCTAGTTCAAGTGATGTAGCAAGTTGAGATCGGGCCAGGCGGGCCGCGACATTACTTAAACTGGCTTAAACCCGCAAGCAGCTTGGCAACAGGACCAGGAGCCAGCAACCTGTGACTTTACTCAGACTCTACAGATCATCTGATCTCAAACGGGCTGCTGTTGAATGTCGCCTCCGCTGCCATTGCTGTCTGTCCCTCCCTCGAACTCACCGAAAGGCCTGTGGAAACACATGGGAGACACAAGATCTGGCAAAACTCCTTTGTAGAAACCACGAGCAAATGCTTGCTGTGGGTTTCTTTCGCTTTGCTTGACAGTTGCAGTCTTGTCCAGGCTCACAAGCAAGCTCGCTGAATCCTTCGCGAAAGCCTTCACACTGCAGCTCTCGTCGTGGCAGCGCAAAGGAGCCGAAGGAAAAGGAGGCTCCTTGCCTTGTCTGGGCTGAGGGCGAAGTCTCGCTGCTTTCTGCTGCCTTGCTCGCACGCGCCAGCTCCTGACTCGCTCGTTTAGCTTGGAACAGGCACTTCTGGGTCGAGAACCCAACCAAGAATGTTCACGAGACTACGTGACGTTTTCTGATCTCATCTGAGGCCAAGGCTTTCGAAGCCGCACTTGCAGTGTTCCAGTCCTTACACGGCATCGACGATGATGCGCCGTGCCCGGGCGGCAGATTCTGCCATGACGCTGCGAAATGGTTGCAGCTCCGATGCTACACGGTCCGGAGCTCACAGGTCATGCCCCATGCTGCTTTGCACCCAGGCCAGAGCATGTTATCATCCAAGACTTCTTCGACGACAATGGTGTCTCCTTTAAGGACTCGCCTCCCAATTGGGCTATTCTGGCAGCTCTCCGCCGTCCACTCTCAAGGACTTGTGACTGATGTCAACGTGTACTTGTACCCTTGTCCATACTAAAAGACAAAGCAGCAGCCTTTCTACGAACCAATATTTTTGGGCTCCCGCATTAAAAAAACTCCGAGGGCTTTACATGGCAGGTGCCCAGTCGGTTACGTGGCCACAAGTCATCCCTGCTACAAGCCAACCAAACAACACACAAACCCACACCTAACCAAACCGCCAAACCACCACCGCT